ATATCTCTTGTTATGTAGGTGATAACATCTAATGGATTTGGTTAAACTTGGAAAATTGGTTGATGGAATGATTGGAAAAGTAATTGAGAAACCATGTGCCTGCTAGCCAAAAATAGGGGCTGGATTTTTAGCCTTGACTTCCAAAATTTCTTGATGATTTTAAATTCAATTTTACTCAAAACACCCTATGAGACTTTATACTACAAGTGTATGTTGAACTTGAATCAAGGGAGTGAGGTTTTGTTAGTGAGAATAGCATTTTCTCATAATTATTAGCAATTTGAAAATTTCACAAGACTGTGCAGCTTTGGGAAATTTGATATAACTTCGTATAGAAAAGTCGGAATTGAATTCCGTTTATTGCGTTTGAAACTAGACTTAGAGAGCTTTCTAATGGTACAAAATTTGAGCTATGGTTCATTTTATATACAGACCAGAAAATCGACAAAATTGACTGGAAATTGTGCCCTGCACAAGTAAAAAAACTGGAATGTTGTAGTAGCTTGTGACTCAATTTGGACCAATTTATCAACTGAATCTCTTTCATTTGTCTTCCAAAGATTGTTAGTGCTTCGAGTCTAGTTTTTAACGGGGCAAGTTGTATGATTTTTTGACATTTATAACTCAAGTTATGATTTTTCAAAAAAATGATGCTTGCTAGAATTTTTTTTTGTTGGAATTCGTAGAAGAGAAGCTGAGATGTTTCCAACTTTACATCTAAAACTTTGACTGCAAATTGACATATCTTGAACAGTTCAATTTTAATAAGCATGTTAGTTTTTATGGTGAAAATCTTGACTTTTGTGGCTGGACTTTTTGTTTTGAGGATCTTACGATTGCTGGAAATTTCTAGCAATGAAATGAAATGAAATGTGAACTCTTTGATTGCTCATATTACTTGGGTCCAAATGCTTTCCTTTTACTCCAAAACCATAGTTGAACCATTACCCTAGTATGTACTTGGATTTTTCCTTGATTTGCACCTTCCAATTTGTCTTTGAACCCTTGTGAATTTAGGAGGCCAACTTAGATAGGTGTATGACTCATAGTTGAATCTAAAATGTGAACTTGGTTCATCTAAACTTTGGATGGTTGGACAATAATATTTTTGTCCTAGTTGCTCTTAGGGTTTGGCTGTGAACACGAGTATAACTCAAAGACGAATGTTTAACGTTGCTCTGCTTTGACTCGGTGAGTGTTCCAACTGCATGTTTCATGCTACTTGATGCTAAAATTGCTAGGCACTTGATTTGTCATTTCTTAGGCGAGTGTGTACTTTATCGCACTTGACCTAACTCAACTAAACTTTTGATATTTTGTTCATACATGTACAAGCAATTTGATTTACAAGTGACATGTATCTTGATTTGAAATATTTGAACTTGTGTGCGGACTTGCATGTACGCGTGTATGATTGTAGACCGGCTGTACATTTTCTTACGGCTGTTGAACTGGGCCCTTGGACCCTTATCCGAGATGTCGGGTAAGTGAGAACTTGGGTTACTCATGCGTATACGTGAATGTAGGTCGGTAACGGCTGAACTGAGTCCTCGTTGGATCTCTTGTTTGAAACCAGCTTTAGAGTGGTCGGGTAAGTTGGGCAATCTTGGGTAAAGGACGAAGCTCCTAACCTGTTTACTCGTGACTTGAATTCATGACTTGAACTCGTGACATGCTTGAATACAGAGTGTTAAGTGACAGCTAACGTCTCCAATCTTTACTAACGTGAGCATTGGGTTATAACCAATAACTCCACTCGTGAATACTTGAATACTTGGGATTGTAAGTCCATCCATGGTTAATTGGTCGAATTGAGCCGGCAAAGGGCTTGGTCAAAGAGATTGACGAACCATGGGTACTTGATTGGAGTTCGGTCCCGATAGGGGGATGATCGATGGACGGAGATGATCGTTTAGTGGTGATCTACAGATATTATAATTCCATGGTTGATGGAGCGTCAACGGACCTCGAACAAACTGCCGTGGTATCTGTTCCTGAGAGCAGACTATATCTGTTGATAGGAATTTGATCTTTACTGTACATTATTGCATGATCTATCTGGTTATCTATTTTGCTATACATTATATCATTCCTGCTAGTTTACTTGCATGTTTTCTTGGAACCTTACTGGGTTTCTAACTCATTCCATAAATTTATTTTTCTTACAAGGGTAAGAACGTGAGAGTGAAAATTGGAGAAGACATAAACTTTGTCTAAGTTTTATTAGTTGCTCGCGTAGGCACTCCTTAGCTCTCTAGTGGATTTGTTTGATTTTATTTTGTAAGTTTAACTCCACGGTTGTATTTAGAGATTGTATGGGCATTTGATTTCTACGATTATATATGTCTATGGTTGTAATTGATATTGCTCATGATGTGAAACCCCGATCTAGACAACCAAAACACCATGGCTTAGGCAGCGGAAATTTGACCCAACTAATCCCTAGAAGTCACGAACAATTTTGATATTATCTCAACCCGTCACTACTCGAATTAACGAACCAAATTGGAGATAGTAGAACGCCACAATCAAGGAGATACTCGATTGATAAGTTCAGGTGAATAACTTGAGAAGATTCTCAAGTATTCAAAGGAAGCTCTCTTGCCAAAGAGAAAGTGAAAACTCACTAATTGTATTTAATAGCCAAAAACTGATCTGAAACAAAGAGGAAGTGGGGCTATTTATAGCCCTTACAAGCATTAACCCTAATCCAAAAAGTTGACCAAACTACCCTACATACTAAAGAAAGATTTTGGGCCTTACTTACTAACAAATGGGCCGCAATTAAACTAGCTTAATTACCTAGACTTTCTAAAGCGAGAAATAACCAAAATCAACGAGGAAAATCAAATAATCCTACTAAACTCAAGCATTCGTGCAATCAACTAGTCTTCACTTGAATCTTCCAATTCCCCATGTGCTTGAATGGGCCTTGGTCTTTATATTCTCATCATTCCCCTCCTCTTAAAGGCGATTTGTCCCCAAATCATGACTCTCTTACAAAACAAAAGTGATGAGAGCATGTGTATAGTCACCAAGCAGCCTGCATGTCGCCGTCTTAAGCGAGGAATGATCATGACATCCTTGTGTGGAACAAGGACAACTCGTGGTGGTGGTAGATACATGTTGCGGACAGCAAGATTTTCATGAAAATGGTCACACAAGCGACGTCTCAATCCTATGGGTGGATCGTGAGCGGACGCCCGGTGAACCAAGGTTTGGTTGGGCTGCGAGTTGTACGCATCAAGACGTGCAAAAACTGCATCAAAGGCCAATGTAACTCGACTAGTGTTGGTTGGAATTACTTGTCCAGCACTCTCTTCGCAGATCTCTATGGTTGCAGGTATTGCACACTGCAAGATGAAGGATATCTGACCACGAACAACCTGCACAAATGAAAACACGTTAAACACCACAAAGGTGGAACAATCCAGCTCCCAGTGCCCGATGTTGTCCTCAGGTTTAGCGAGCATGATCAATGTTCGCCCTTTCTTTTCCTTGCCTTCTAATCGATCCAACTCCCATTACCTCTGTAAAACATTTTGGTCCTCTCGAACTTGTGTAGGTGAGAGTGGAACAAGTATGACCCTTGTCCCTTTATGCATGAACGAGTATTTGTTGGAATGACCTTCATAAGTAACCTCGCCATCAAATTGCCAAGGTCTTCCAAGAATAAGATGGGCAGCTTGCATAGGAACCACGTCACACACCAACTCATCCTCATATCTCCCAATGTTAAACTTCACAGAAACCTGCTTGGACACTCGCATTTCGCCGCAATCACTAAACCATTGAAGCTTATATGGTGTAGGGTGATCTTGGACAGGTAGGTGTAACTTCTTGACAAATAAGGCACTGGCGACATTGGTACAACTTCCTCCGTCGATAATCAAGCTACACACTTTCCCGTTAACTAGACATCGGGTATAGAAGATGTTGGTACGCTGCTCTTCTTCATTTGTGCGTTGAGCACTCAATGCCAACCTTGTAACAAGGCCTAGTCCAACTGGTTGGTCAGGGGCAATTATCTCTTCTTCCTCAACCAATGGTGGCATGCCTTCATACTCATCCTCCTCATCCGTTAGCACTTCACCACTTGGAAGCATGAGCATGGTCCTTCGGTTTGGGCATTGGGACGCGATGTGACCGAAACCTTGACACTTAAAGCACTTAGTGTCGCGGTTTCTAGGTTTAGATGCCCCTAGATCAGCCTTAAATTCGGCCCTTTGGGTCGGTATTGAAGATGACGAACCAGGCACCCATGCTCCATTCGAAACCCCACTTGCCTTGGCTGACTTTTGCTCACTCGTATGGGTAATCTCGCCTTTATACTGTTGAGTTCTCCAATTTCCAGATTGGACGTTGGAGCTTTGGTGGGGGATACCCCTCCTCTTGAGCCTCCTTTCCACCTTGATAGCTTTGTCCAATAATTCATCCATGTCAAGGTAATGTTGGAGCTCCACAACATCTGTAATTTTAGCGTGTAGTCCTCTCAAGAAACGTGCCATGGTTGCCTCTATATCCTCCCGAACATCAGCCCGCAACATGGCCATCTCCATCTCCTTGAAGTAATCCTCAACCGTCATACTACCTTGGGTGAGAGTTTGTAATTTATGGTGCAAATCCCTGTGGTAATACGCTGGTATGAAGCGCTTCCTCATGATCCTTTTGAGTTCTTCCCAGGTGCGAATGAGTGGTGCTTCATTTCTCCTTTGTCTGGTGCGAATCTGATCCCACCAAACGGCTGCGTATTCAGTGAACTCAATGGTTGCCAACTTTACTTTTTGGGACTCTGAGTAGTGGTTGCAGTCAAAGAGCATCTCAATCTTCCTCTCCCATTCCAAATATGCTTCAGGGTTCGACTTGCTTGGGAATGTAGGAATTTTGAGCTTGATTCCCTTTAGTTCATCATCCCCTTGATTAGGGATACGTTTATAATTCCGGAATCGGTTTTCATCTGCCATGTCCTCCTCATTGTTCGAATCACCTAACTCCTCCACTTATGGTTGTCTCTTGGAGGCATTCTTGCCTAGGGTTGATTGCTCCACCTTATCCTCCAGTGTATCAATTCTCTGAGCCATGCGATCAATGGCGCCTGTTAATGCTTCAAGAACATGTTTCATGTCATAAGGGTCACTTGTCGCATGAGTTTGAGACATGTTTATAGAGTACCTGCAAGACTCAACAAACAGTTAGTAGAAACTGCCTCACTCACTCCCTTAGTGTATCACTCACCCTCGTGTATGTCACTCAAGGCGCTCCAATGGACTTACCAAACACCTTTACCTGTTGGGTTAGGTAGTTTGAGAAATGCTGCTCAATCCCAAATAATTGCCACCAACTTCTTCCTCAAGAGTAATCACGGAGATGTAGAAGAAAGTGTAGGGAAGTGTTCCTAAAAGTTAGGAGAAAATATAGGAGAAAATATTGGAGAAAGTGTAGGAGAGTGTTCCTAAAATCTAGGAAGAGAATATAGGAGAGTTTCCTAAAGTGGATGAGAGAATATAGGAAAGGTCCTAAAAATGTATGAGAGAATTTAGGAAAGTTTCCTAAAAATAGATGGGAGACTTTAGGAAAGTTTCCAAAAGAAATGGATGAGAGAGTTTGGGAAAGTTTCCTAAAAAGGTAGCAGAGAGAGTGTCCAAGTGAGTACAAAGAGTTATCCAAGTGCTTTACTTAGTTTCCTAATTGATTTTGGAAACAATTTAGTTTTTGGAAACCCTTTGAAAATCCTTTTTCTCTTGAACAACTTTGGTAACCTTCTTGAAACAACCTTTGGTAATCTTCTTGAAAAAACTTTTGGTAACTTCCAAATTCTACTCCAAGAAAGATTGCACAAATCAGATTTGGTTCCCTATTCAAAACAATTCGGTTGCCACTTTCTTTCCTTTCCTTTTTTTTTTTTTGCCAACCGATTCCTCTTTTCTTTCTTTTTCTTTTCGTTTTTGTTTTCTATATCTTTTTTTTTTCGTGTATTTCGAGTCATATATGTTTATCCCAATCTGTTCGTTTGTTTAGAACCAAAAAAAAGAAGAAGATAACCTGGTGGTTGTCGACTAGCTCTGATACCAACTGATGTGAAACCCCGATCTAGACAACCAAAACACCATGGCTTAGGCAGCGGAAATTTGACCCAACTAATCCCTAGAAGTCACGAACAATTTTGATATTATCTCAACCCGTCACTACTCGAATTAACGAACCAAATTGGAGGTAGTAGAACGCCACAATCAAGGAGATACTCGATTGATAAGTTCAGGTGAATAACTTGAGAAGATTCTCAAGTATTCAAAGGAAGCTCTCTTGCCAAAGAGAAAGTGAAAACTCACTAATTGTATTTAATAGCCAAAAACTGATCTGAAACAAAGAGGAAGTGGGGCTATTTATATCCCTTACAAGCATTAACCCTAATCCAAAAAGTTGACCAAACTACCCTACATACTTAAGAAAGATTTTGGGCCTTACTTACTAACAAATGGGCCGCAATTAAACTAGCTTAATTACCTAGACTTTCTAAAGCGAGAAATAACCAAAATCAACGAGGAAAATCAAATAATCCTACTAAACTCAAGCATTCGTGCAATCAACTAGTCTTCACTTGAATCTTCCAATTCCCCATGTGCTTGAATGGGCCTTGATCTTTATATTCTCATCAGCTCATATTGTTGAGATTGTTACTTTGTACATTTCATGACGGCGCGAGTGAGTTCTGACGAGAGTTGGGCAGACGGTTCGCCAAATTCTTGGGTACACCCTAGGGGAGTTGGGAACGTCATAGATGGTATTAGAACCACCTCACGTGGTCTCTGCGTGGGTTGAGTTTGGGTCAAGTAGTGTTATGGTTCCAATTATGTGAATAAGTATAAAGGACTAAATGATCTTTTTGAGCGTAAGTTGTGAATCATGAATTTAAAGGCGTAAAACCTTTATCATGATATTTGGAAAAAATAATTATGTACATCTGGTAAGAATCTCAAATGTAGGTGATTTACTTTTGGGACTGGCCAGTTTGAGTTGTGAATTATCTTATTTGGGATTCTTGTACTCGAGTAATAAAAGTGGAGAGCACTAGGATGAGCATCGATATTTCAATAGCACTTGATGTAAGTTTTGATAGCAAAGATCAAGGCATGAAAGATTCTAGTATTGGACCTCAGATTGAACTGATCAAGGAGAGTGGATCAATAGGTGGTCTTGTACATGTCTGACTAGGGTTTCTACAGATGATAGCCAGCTTCGCAGTCATCGTGAATATTTAAGGTACTAGTATTGCGGGCCTGTTTCATTTCTCCTATACCTGTGTACCCTTGTCTCATGTTTTTTTTAATTTTGTTGCGATTTGATTATAGTTACATATGTATTTCTTATGAATTCATTTTAACTCTTATTTGACTACCCTTGTTTATTTCCTACCCTTTTGCGATACCACATAAGAATCTAGTTTCGATTCCTATTTATCTATAAGTTCTGGATTATGTATGAAGATTTTGCAGACAAGGATATGGGTTTTACGCTTGTATGCGAATTTTGGCAAAATTAGAATGACCGTCTTGATGGAGGATGGTAAAAGTTACTAGTGGGGGTAAGAAGTTATGATTTCTTCTTGAGCAAGTTTGTGAGTGAGTGTATAAAAAAGAGTGAGTTAGGGTGCAGAACTTTCGCTATAAAGAATATGATTCCGTATTTTGTTATATATATAATCAATGATAGTAATGTTTGTGGGAAAAGCCAAGAATAGGAGTAAGTACTTGTGTGATTCATATTTCTTCGGTGACCTGCAAGCAAAGGAACGAAAGAGTTACATGGTTAGAATTTCCAATTATGATTAAATACTAATTTCAATCCTTTGATTTGTTGGCAGGCTATCACTTGAGTTAAAATGAATCGGTGAAATGACAAATTTGGCTGATATGCATAAGGAAATAGAGATTTTTCGAAAGAAAATAAAGTTACAAAAGCAATTAGTTGAGCACTGGGAAGGACGATGGAAACAAGAATATTCGGAGAAAATTGAGCCGCTGCACAAGAATATAGAACTGAAAAAAAATATGAAGAGATCTGTGACAGCCCCACTTTCCCCTAAGGCGAACCAAAGAGGTTAGCGGACTGCCTGCCCAGCTCTCGCCAGGACTACGGATCAGATTAGAGCGATCTTTCACGTTCCGGAACTTATAACGCGCGCAAATAAGGCAAAAGGGCAAAATAACCCAAAATAAAAGAAAATGAAACCCGGAGTCGGCCATGAATAGTAACCGACTCGTCCGAACCCAACCAAACATCGAATTACATATACCCCATAACATTTAGCCTTTACAAACCAAAATGACATTTAAAAGTGATACAAAAGTCACTACATATATTGTTTGCCAAAACAAAAGTGAAAATGGCCCTAATGATACATTTAGGGTCCCATTTTATATACAATACAAAAGAGTCATTCATCTAGTTCATTTGGCAACCATTTATCAAAATTCATTCCAAAAGAGTCATATTCCTGTAAGGAAAACAAAAGGAACGGGGTGAGCTAATTGCCCAGTGAGAATACAACTCAAGCAACCAAGTTCATGGATACATCAAGCTTAACAGTCCAATTTACCAAAATAAATAAAGCCACACATTAATAATGAGGATAAAAGGATACGGGTGGCTCTCAAGAGCCCTTTTCCTCGTTGGAATTCTTGATCGGTCTCATTGACTCTCCGTCAATGTTTGAAAAGTAACCAACTGTAGACCCCTCTTCTCTCCCATTCCTTCCACCAAACATCCCCCTACCGGGCCCGCACTCCAAACACTTGCACTGTGGTATTACTCGAGTATACCGGAATCAAGAGTCTCTCATACTACAAGATTCCTTATAACTTTACCCAAGGCTCATTAATTGTCACGACCAAACCCTTGTCGGCTCGATTCAATCAACTACCAATAGGGTTGAGCTCAATGATAACATTTGTAGTCGTTGGATACTTGTCCAATCGATATCAAGTCATGTATTTCATTTCATATATCAGTTCATATAACTTTCCAATAACTTTTCAATAACATGTGAAACAATAAGTGAGAGTGATAAAGTACACTCTCACATCAATCCATTAACATACAACATCTCAAGTTCAAATATCAAAGCCATATAATAGCACACAAGTGAGTAGTACACTCACCAATCAATTAAGTGCTATTTCATGCACTTCCGTCAGGAGAATGTCGTGAGCTATCGTCACGCCCTAGAACATGTAAACAAATACCATAAGACTGGATAACGAGTCATAAAGTCAAACCAATTATCGCCCAATAGGGTTTCATAAACATATACAAGCATGAAAGCAAACCAGAAATTAAGAAAGGCTTTAATGTTGGCCTTGATAAGAAAACCGGTTTTGACGTCATAATGCGGTAATGGCACAACTCTCACTACAATTATCGGTTAGGGGTGTAAGACCCACCGTTTCGAAGCTATGAAACAGGGCTACAACAATGTACAAGGCCACTCAATCCAGATCCTAGCACAACTAGGTCAAAAGTGCCAAATACCAAACCAGAATTACCAAAACAGATTTGCAAAACGCAGAAAACTGTAATCGGTATATCTCAGTCCATACAAGTCCAAATGCCGAAATTCCAAAGGCATATGTTAGCTAAGACATTCAGCTACATTTCATCAGAAGACACCAACTTCAAAATCCAAACCAATTCCAGTCAAAACAGGCAATTACTATCGCAGTTCAGACATTCTGTGCACCAAAAACAGCAACAGTAAAAACGGCATAACTCACTCTACACTTGTCTAATTTCCCTGAAATTTTGCAGGCACACTAAACTCATCAATACCTACAACTTTCATGTTTTGAGCAAAGTCCAATTCGGCCTCTAGCTATGACCTAAAATTTCGGACAGAATAGGGGTTCAAGAACCCTAACTTTTCACATTTCATTCCAAATCCAAAATTGATTGCATTTAACAACAATTCACACCTACTAGAGCCAAAGCCCCTTATTACCAACCATCATACTAGTCCACAACATCAAAATCATATGAAACCAGAAAATTCCTCATAAAATGGAAAACTTCACCAAATCAAGCCAAACCAAGAAATAAATCATATAATCCAACACTCAAGCCACTTCTAAGCATAATATAACCATCATTAGGTGTAGTAGGGTGTTCAAGCATCACTT